CGGTGGATAAAATTATGTGAAATCCACTTCTGGCCAAGACATTGCTGTAATTTCATCTGCATATGCTCTGGAAAAGACTGACAGCCTAAACGTTCTTAGATAAAATGTTGGATAGTACACCAGCAACAGGCCCAAAGTATGTCCAACTTCAGATATAGACACAAGTTACTGCAAAATTGGAAAAAATCCTTAGCAGCAGAAGCCTTCTATTTTTAAGTATTCTGACTATATGCAATAATGAAACTCTGGGGCTTGTTTCTGTTCCCTCATGGTTCCAGAGTAGATTGAAGACATTTGTATGCTGAATGCTACCTACTATTAAAACTGCAGAAAACTGGGCCTATTCAATATTATTAATAGCATAAATTCCCGCAGGAAACAATGGAAATATTGCTCTTATCTAACTGAAAAATTAGATTAAATTAGAATGTACTATCAAACCTGACAGTTGTCTTTTCAAGTTCTTTAAATAAACCTCTTCAGTTAATAGAGTACTGAAAGTGCTCAACTTTTTAAAATGTCTTTCAATTAATTAATCTGCAGTGATTTGGGTTATTTTTTTAAAAAGAATAATCCCTTTATCTGATTTTAGCAGTCACTGTTCCTTCCTCCTCCCTTTCCTTCCATAGCCTTATACCACATGCAAGCATAACAAAAGAAACTTTGTTGTCCCAATTGCTGGCTGCAGAAATAATTGAACACATATCATTAACTTTACAAGGTATCAAAGTACGCACGGCACACCCATGTACATCAAGATTCAACAAACCAAAACACTGTCTATACGTCAAGACTACTAATATGAACATTTCTGTATAAAGTACAAACACACATATACCTTTGCAATCATACCTATCTGCAAAGTAAATCAGAGCTCTCTCTTTCCTACATGAACTCTAATTTCCACAGAGCAAAGTCGCTGGTTTTTTTTAATGGCAGGATCTTGGCAGGCCGCCAGCCATGAAGCTTTGACGAGGTTTCTTCTGTCTGATCATGTGTTTAATTGTATCCCCACCCCCCACTCTGAGTTTAAAGCATTAATAGCTAAGATATGACTGGCTAGACTGGAAAATGGATGGAGAAAAGAACTCAATTACAGCACAAAACTATTGCCCAATTATACTGCTCTGAACAGTCAAAAACCTCTTAACTAGCGCTTGAAACCATTGTGTTCTGTTACACAAAGTTTGAAATTGAATAATTTTGCACATCTCTAGTGACAGCCTCTGTGAGGAAAATAAAGTTATACAGGACTCGTCCATTACACTTTATTTACTAATTTTAGACAAATTCTTCAGCAAATTACATGTTATTTTTTGATGTTTTGGCACTATTTGAATAACTTGAGAGCCTAAGAATGTAGAAATATTTAAATTTCATATAAATTGCTATAAGAAAATGATATATAACTGTCCAAAAATTAAGATATGACAATATAGTTTAAACCAGAGGCATCCACAGGATCCAGAACTTTCATCAAGATGATAAAAGCTGTCACACTGTCTGTACTAATCCTTTCATGCAACTTATATACAAAAGGTCAGAGCTCATTTTATATCAGTGCATCATCCCTTCCCGCAGTCCCCTCTGGATGCTTTTAGTTTAAATCAAACATGAGCCCTAAGAATGATAGATAACTGAAATTACATATAGACTAAGGGTATCAAACTCGATTTCATTGACAGCCGCATCAGGGGTTTTTTTTGACTGGGGGGGCGAGGCATGTCACTCGTGTTGGTGCCTGCGGTGGGCCGAGCACTCTGCCAGCTAAAACAGACTCCCGAGCTCCGTTTTCGACTGCGACAGCCTCCTGCAACCTTCTGCCAGTGAAAACGGAGCTTGGGAGCCCATTTTTGCTGGGAGAGGCACGGCGGGCCAATTCTTCACTGCTTCCAGAGCAGTTTAGCAGGGCAGATCTAAGCACCCCACAGTCCTTCAGTTAGACACCTCTGATGTAGACTAACGGAATAAGCCTAATCATTGCTGTGTCTTGAGATAACTCAAATATGTGTTTGCATATTGCTAGTGATATTGAGCTTGTGTAAATGCAAATACTACTAGTACTGTACACCATGTTAGTTTGTTAAGCTTTGGTATATTTGAGCAACCTGTGCATGCTCAGGTTGCCTTCCTATTGCCTTCCTATTGTATTGGGGTTCCAAAATATTTAAAAATGTCAGAACAGAGACAATATTGTTTTACGGTTTTCAGTGAGCTTTTCTTATCTTTTTGTGTTGCTAGGCTTCTGCTCAGTGTAATTTTCTTGACTTGAGCCCTGTATATGTGGGACCATGTTTTTGTTTGGTTGTGAGTTTTCCATTATTTCTTGCTGACAAAAGAACAGTTTATTTTATGGTACCGTACAATTTCTCTTTCCGAATCAACGGACCATAGTAAGAGAATTATTAAGTGCAATGCTAAGTTACAGTGCAATAATTTCAAAGTAATTTTTGTAATAACAAAACAAAGCTTCACACTGAATACACAATGTTTCTGTACTGGGTTACCAGGCTTCTTCTGGTCTTTCCAGACAAACAGTAGGCCTGCTCTGTTAAAGAACTAAATGTTTGTTAACTGCTAAAACTAGGTGCTGATAGAAAGACTGTCAATGAGCGATTAGCTCCCTTTGTTCTCTGCATGCTGGCTGTATGTCTCATGGGTTTATTTAACAATACAAGGATGACACTCTCTGCTGTGAAGGGGAGATTCCAATTCAATCTGCTTTAATATGGGCCTCTTTTGTACTGAGCATGAAATAAGCACATTATCTATCTAAAGCACACGGTGCATATCTAATTAAACTAAACTAATAGTAACTGACTGAATAGTCTAAAGCCTCAAAAATGTAAGGGTATCAGTCAGCAATAGAATAACTATTTGAGTGAAAAATAAAATTAGAAGATAAAAACATCGGAGAAGAACAATACAAAATACAAAAGCAATCAATACATGCGATTTGTAAGATCTCATGGTAGGCCCTAACTAAACTATCATTACAAAACAATTATTTCGTTACTTCAGCCAATCAAGAATTTAGTTTAGAGTCCACTGAACTTACAAAAAATCTAGTTGAATGGCAGCTAGACCCTAAAATTGAGGAGCTCAATTCTAAGCAATTCTTTTCAATTTAGCACATTAGCAACTGCAATAATCTTTTAAGTGATCACTGATAGTACTTAAATATGCAAAATATGCAGGTATAAAAGCTTCTATATTTATGGAGCAAAATATATATTTTTGAGCATTTTTCAAGATCAGAAAAATCCAGATCAATAAAGAATAGCTCTTAAGAAACTTGGGACCTATAATATGTAGTTTCCTCAATAAACTAGGACTATGATGGTGAACCTATGGCACGACTGCCAGAGGTGGCACACAGAGCCCTCTCTCTGTTTGCACACACGCCGTCGCCAGCTGCTCTTCTGGTTTCTGGCGCACTGGTCTTCGCAGGTGTCTGAGTGCCAGAAAGTGGCCTGGAAAACGGTCCAAAAAACAGCTTGAAAACAGCTCCTAATCAAACAAAAACGCCCCCAAAACAGGCATATGTGCGCCAGCCAGCTGGTCTTCAGGTTTCCAGTGCTCCGTGAACATGAGCTGGCCGGCAGGCATGTGCGTGCCAGAAACCCAAAGACCAGCTGGCTGGCCCACACATGCACATGCATGTACACATATGCACATGCGTTCTGGTTTGGGCATTCAATGCCGAAAAGATTCACATCACTGAACTAGGAGATAAAGAAGGAGAGCTATTTATTTATGCCAGAATTCTAGTGGTAAGTGCATCACATAAAAGGTAAGATCAAA